TTATTTATTTGTTTGCCTCTCTCCATTCCAAAACTGTCACCCAGCTTTTCTGGGGCCTCCGGTGGGTGCGCCCTGAGAGCGGTTTCCCAGCCTATGGGGCTGAGGGAGGTGCCGTTCGCAGGGAGTTAATGTATTAAGCAAACTTGATTAAGCATCCTGATGTACCGGCCCTGTGTGTCTTGGGTAGATTCCTGGAATATTCGCCTGGCTTTTGGGGGGGTTGGAAATGGTCACTGTTGAAATGTTTCTTTTTCATGAAATCACTGGCCCCCTTTCAAGAAAACAAGACGGGGGGAGAGAGTGGGAAACAAACAAACAAACAAACAAACAAACAAACAAACAAACAAACAAACCCAGAAGTGGCTTGTTCTGAAAGTGTGGCCCCGAGGAGCTTGGGGTTGTGGGTGGGGACGTGTGTCTCCCGTTTCTGACCTCGCTGGCTTGTTGCGTGCTTCCTTTTAGATCATTCTCAACTCCATGCACAAATACCAGCCCCGGCTGCACATCGTAAAGGCCGACGAAAACAATGGCTTCGGCTCCAAGAACACGGCGTTCTGCACACACGTCTTTCCGGAGACGGCCTTCATTGCCGTGACCTCTTATCAGAACCACAAGGTAAGCTCCTCCCGGGGTCTGCGCCCCGCCTGCTCATTGGCATGGTAGGTGGGGGTGGGGGTGGGAGGTGTTGGGGGTTGTGTGTGGACATCATCTGCAGGCCGGAAGCTCTCTGTTTCCTGGGCGGCCCTGGCCTTCCTCCCTAACACCCAGCGAGAGGTCTAGGGGCTGGCACCAGAAAGTGAGATTGGGCTTGGGTGTGCGTGTCCTGGTGTGGGAGAGAGTAGCACTGTCCCCTGTGAGGTTTTGGGGGGTTATTTTGCTTTGCTTTTGCGCCTGTTATCTCCGTGGAGGCTGGTGGCTAAGCTCCTCTTCTGGGGACCCCATCCTGCTTGGTGTACAGGGTTGTTCTTAATGGCCATGCCGCCAGGGCTCAGTCCAATGGTTCCCACCCCAAAGCCGAGTGTTCAAGCAGGGCTGGCATTGTAAAACGGAACCCGAAAGAAGGCGAGGAGGGCTCAGGCCCCAGGACTTCAAGGAGATCCTGTATCTCCCGACCCCACCCTGTCCCATTTCCCAGTCCCTGTCCCTGTCCCAGTCCAGGCTGAGGACCTGAAGCTTTTGGAACCCCGTCTGGGGCCCGGGAGGGTGGAACGGTGGTCAGTGAGGCTGCCAGGATTGTGTAAAGGTCAGACCCCATGCCGATCACCATTCAGGCCTCTTTCTGGACATTACAAAGACAATGGCATTGCAGCGGGGTGTCTCCACACTGCTGCTGGGACTCACCTTTTTGTCCCCTGGCAGGCAGGAGAAGGGACTGGCTGGGACTTGAGCCGGTGGAGAGCTGACCTGCCTATGGGATTGATTTGATCGAAGAGGGGTTTGATTGGAGGGTCCCTCAGCATCGGTGTGAAGGGGGGTGATGTCGGGGTCTGGGGAGGGGCTGCTGATGGGGGGTCGCCGATTTCGGAGTACTAAGTGGTGAGAAACTATGACAAGCACGGGAAGAAGTGTGAGGATGGTGCGGCGCGGGGCCTGTTTCCTTCTGCTGCGTTAGGTCGCTGTGGGTGGACGGCACCACCGGACAACAAGAATTTGTGATGCGGGGTTAGGTGGCAGTGGGAGGGGGACACAAGGGGCCCCTTTGGAGTCAGTGAGCACAGGTCACCTGAGTAACTTACAGAGGTGGATCAGGGAGAGGGGTGCCTTTCTGTTTACCCTGCTAGGTAACGGGAGGCAGAGCTGTAGGGGTTGGGGAGTCAGGTAGGAAGACCTGGGGAGGGGGGAGAGGCAATCTGAGCAATTCAGTCACCAGACCCGGGACGGGCCAGGCAGCACATGAGGTCCCATTGGGGCCATTATTACCAAGCCGGGATGGACAGTCCTGGAGCCGAGTGGCCTCTCTATCAGCCAGCCGGGGAACCCGGGTCTGAAGAAGTTCCCTCTAGACAGTGGTTCTCAACCTCCCTGATGCCGCCACCCTTTCATACAGCTCCTCATGTGGTGGTGACGCCCGAGCCCTACAGTTATTTCTGTTGCTACTTCATCATTGTCATTTTGTTACTGTTATGAATCAGGGCCAGTCCTGTGAAAGGGTCGTTCGACTCCCAAAGGGGTCTCGACCCACCGGTTGAGAACCACTGCTCTAGAAGAACGGCCTCCCCAAACACAATTCCTTCTTTCTTTTTAAATGTTCTTTTACATTTTATTTATTTTGTTCTTGTTGAGAAGATACTCCCGAACGCGCACCAAATGCTACACCCTCTCCGTGTGTCTGAGTTGGGTCACCTTTCCCTCTTTCCGGAGGAGCGATTCCTTCCTCATTCACATCACCTCTCTGCCCCTTAAGCTTTCCGTCTCACCTGTTGAGTTGTTGATGTCAGTTTGATCCTGGGTAAAATGAAACATACCTACTGCTGTTCAATTGATTCTCACTGGTAGGTAACCCTCAGTCAGGTCTCCGAAAAAGAAGCTGTGAATCTGTGGGAGTGGACAGCCTCGGCTTTCTCCCCTTGATCCTGTATAGATACTTCTTGAAAGAGCATATACCGATCAAGACAACTAAGTAACTACGAAAGCAAAACTATCCTTTTAAGATGACTTCAGGGTATCGTTTTGGTTTGAAGATGATCTCGGGCCAATTGTTTGGGGGGTTCATCTACTCTTCAGGACTCCTGAAAGTCAGGATTCCATGGATTTTGCACTCTGTTCTGCATTCTCCCCACTCGTTGTCGCGATTCTTCAATGAAATCTGTGATCCAAATGTTTAGTAATGGGTACCATCCAGTTCTTCTGGTCTCATGGCAAAAGGAGACAGTTCATGGCAGCAATGAGCCACCCATTCCATATCCTCCTCCTCCTCCTCACTCCTTCTTCCTCTGCTATTTTAAATCAGGGGCCGGGAATCTTCTCTGCCAAGGGCCATTTGGATATTGATAACATCATCCGAGGGCCATATGAAATTATCAACTTGAAAAATTAGCCTGCTATATTTGGTCAAACCTTTAATGGACTCCTCGTTCATGTGATGGCTGGAACCTCTTCCCTGGGACGAAACGTGTGTGATGGGTATTGAAGTTCCCCGTCCCTGCTCTGGGTGAACAGAGACTGACTGTGGGACCTGAATGGTCACTTGCAAGCTTTGAAGATACACAGCTAATTAGGAGGTAGACCAGAAACACTAAACCTATTAATAGGCCCATTAACTGAGATGAGCCACGATCCCATGACCCTAAACCTCCAAACCAGTGAACCAAATTCCATGAGGTGTTTGATTGTCCAGAAGCAGCCCCAGCAGCTACTTGCTTTGTCGTGGCTGTGAATGTACTAGCATGTATACCTTTTGCCAATTAAACTCTTTACAAGTGTACAAGTTATGGACAGCAATGACAACAATTGGCTGTGCAACCCTTAATCAGTGCAATTCCCTCACCATCCCCCTGGTAACTGGGAACAAACCCCAAGCTCTATCCATTTGCCTTTTATTCTCTTTTTTTGTAAGCCAGGTCAAATAATATTTGTCCTCTGGTGATTGCTGTGTTTGGCTCAGCATGTCTTCAAGCTGATAAGCCTTCGTTTCTCCTGCTGGCTGCCTGGAATTCTAGTTCATGTTCAGTACCACATTTTGTTTATCCACTCCTCTGGTGATGGACGTTCAGAGGGGTTCCATCTTTGGCTGTCGTAAATAACGAGGGTCGCAATGAACGCTGGGTACAAATCTCTGCTTGGGCCTCTGCTTTCAAGTCTTTGGGGGGATACACCTAGGAGTGGACTTGCCGGGACACATGGTAGTTCTGTGGGTCGCGACCCCTTTGGGATAAAGGCTTATTATCTCCCCACACCCTGCCCTACATCTGCTACTTGTTGTTGCTTTTCAATCTTGGCTGTTCTACCGAGCGTGAGCCGGTGTCTTCTCATTTGGCAGAGGTTTGGCTTGCATCTCTCTGATGGCTAATGAAGGAGCCCTGATGGCCCAGTCGTTGAGGCTGCTAACCCAATCCTCACCGGTGGCTCACACTTACCATCAGCTCCACGGTAGGGAGATGTGACAATCTGCTTCCATAAAGATTGACCGCCTTGGGTGCCCTACTCAGCCCTGCAGGGCTCTGTGTTGGGATCAACACGACCGTTGCTTTGCTCGCTGGTTTTGGATGGTTAATGAGGCTGAGCACCATTTCATGTGTTTGGTGGTCACTTGAATACCTTCTTTGGCGAAATGCCTGTTCAAGTTCACTGCCCGCTTTGTGATGGGGATATTTGTTTTGTAGCTGAGTTATTGATTTTAATTAGATAGATATTTGGTTGGTAGAGTCTATTGGATATGTAATTTTGTTCATAGCCCCCCCCATTTGTTTTGGTAAGGTCTTTTGATAAACAAAAGTCTATCGTTTATAAGAGATCCCATTCCTATCTTTTGCCTTTCGTCACGATGTTAGATAATCCTTTGGGGCAAGCGAGGCCTGACAGTGTGGTCCCTGCTTGTTCTTCTGAGATTTTTATGGTTTGAGTTTGCACCTTGAAGTCCTTCATTTAGTCTGGATTTTTGTGGATGAGGGGAGACAAGGATCCTGGTTTAGTTTTTTGCACGTGGCTAGCCACTTTCCCCAGCCCCATCTGTTGAAGAGACTCTTCTCTCTCCATCCAACAGACGCCGCACCCTCAGATCAGTAGACCTTGGTCTGTGTCTATGATGACACCCATTTTCAGGCTGTTTTGATTACTCGAGCATATCGTGTGTTTAAAAATCAGGAATGGCAAGAACTCCTACTTTGTTCTCTTTCAACTTTGTTTTAGATATTTGGGGCCTCTTGCCATTCCATATAAGGTTGAGGAGTTGTTTGTTTTTTTCCCTTTCTATTTCTCTAAAGAAGGCTGCTGGTATTTTTATTGGGATTGCATCGTGTCTATAGATTGCTTTGAATAGGACTGACATCTTAACAATATTAAGTCTTCTAATCCATAAACATGCAGCATATTTTAAGCGATTTAAGTTTTCTTTAATCTCTTTCAGCAGTGTTTTATGGTTCTCATTGTAAGAGTTCCTGGTTAGATTTATTCTTAGGATAGTCTTTTAGATGCTATTGTAAAAGGAATTGTTTCCTTAATTTCTTTTGCAGATTTCCCATGGCTGGCATATCCAACTGAGTTTTGTTTATTGGCCTTTTGTACAAAAATCAGCATATCCAACTGGCTTTTGTTTATTGATCTTTTGTAGGATGCAGCTTTGTTATATCCTCTATGAGCGCTCAACATTTTCTCTTGGACTCTTGGGGTTTTCTATATATGGGATTATGTCATCTGGGACTACAGATAATCTTACTTCTTCTTTTCTAGTCTGGATATTTTTTCTTTTCCTCATTTTACTGCTCTGCCTAGGACGTCTAATACATTCATGAATAGAAGCTGCGAGAGCGGGCAGCCTTGTCACGTTCCCAACTTCAGCGGGGGAAGGCTTTCAGTCTTTAATACGCATATCATGTTGTCTCCTGGCTTTCAGATACGCCATGAATTATCCTGAGAAAGTTCTCTTCCAACTCAATCCTCCTTAGAGCTTGTATTAAGGAGGATGTTGGATGTGATCAGAGCATCCCCAAAGACGATCACCTGGTCATGTTCCTTTGTCCCACTGATGTGGTGTGTTCTGTTGATTGGTTTCCCAATGTTGAGCCATCCTGCATCCTTGGGACAAACCCCATCGTGCAACGTGTATGAGTCTTACTCTTTGTGTGACTGGATCCTGCTCGCTGGAATTTTGATGAAGATTTTTACGTAGCTGAGCCGAAGAGAGATTAGCTTGGAGTTTCCTCTTCTTGTGCTCACTTCCTTTGGTTTGGGGATCAGGGGTATGTCTCATAGAACGAATGTCTTCCTTCTCTGTGTTTTGGAAGAACTTAAACCATCAATATTGGTGTCAATTGTTCTCTATGTGTTTTGTTGAATTTCCCAGGGACGCCATCTGACCCAGGCCTTCTTTTGAAGGGGGTGGGGGAGAGATTTTTTAGTCACTGATTTCATTTCTCCACTTGTGAAAGGTTTCTTGAGACTTTGTACGAACTTTGGGGCCAATTCAGGTGGGTTCTGTGCATCTAAGAATGTGCGCACATCCTGTAGGTTATCCACTTGCTGCCACCTGGTTACCAGACTTGTAATAGTCTGTCATAATTTATTTTATTTTTTTTATTGATTTCTATTGATTTCTCTTTATTTCCATTGATATCCCCTCGCGTTTTACTTTGGTGCATTGGCACGCGTTCTCTTCTTTCCTTTGCCGATCGATCAATTCCTTTGATCTTTTCAAAGAGCCCGCTTCTGGTTTTGATCGCTTCGCTGTTGTCGTTCTGTTTCCAGTTTTATTTAGTTCTGCTCTGCTCTTTGTTATTTCCTCTCTCCGGGCACGTCGACAACGTGTTGCCTGCCTTTCTCTTTCTTGTTTCGGGGCTTGTGGAGTCAGGCTGTGAATCTGCGATGCGTTTTTCATGTAGGCGTTGATTGCTCTGCATCCCATCCCCGGTGGAGATGCTGTGCCTCGGTTTCATGGAGCTCAAAGAAGGCCGTCATTTCTCTTCCGATTTCTTCCTTCGCTTATGGGTCAGTTTAACAGGGTGCCGTTTCCTTCACACACGTTTGTATATTTTCCTGTTGTTTCTCTCTAGCCTTACTCCATTGTCCAGAGAAAATGGTTCCCGCGACTCTGGCCTTTTAGAATCAATCAGGACCTGCTTTCTGACCCGACAGGTGGTCTGTCCTGGGGCAGGACCCATGGGCGTTGGAGTAGGATGGGTGGGGGCAGGGTCTCTACCTATGTCCATTAAGTCTAGTTGACGTATCCTGCAATTCCGACCCTCAGCTTCCTAGTTATTCTTTTGCACCCTTCCTTTCTTAAAGGAATGATGAGTTCCACCCTCCCCCCCCTTCCCCGGCCCCTTCACTGGTTGCCCTATAAAGCTAAGGCCCAGCACCTTGCAAGCTGCAAAAAAATATTCTCGGCTAATTTCGAGTCTGGCTGCTTGGAACCTGTTCTGTGGCTACTATAATCCGATGGTTAGCTGTGTGGTGATGACCACAGGGGAGGACAATGGAAACGGAAAGGAATAAGGAAGCTCAGTTCCCCCTATGTGTAGTTGAGAGGCCCCTGGACCTGACGAACGGGCCTAACATCCATCAGACTCTTTGCTATGCTGGTCACCCAGGAAGTCCCCAGGCTCCTCCAGGAATTATAGGAAGGGGTAGGAATGTGAACTCAGGAGCTGCCAAGACACGTATGGGTGCTGAGGTCTTTGGGGGACGTTCCGTGTGCAGTGGTTGTAGACAGGGGCCATGAGGGGTGGGCAGGTCCCTGGTAGCATGCTCTTTGATATTCTTTCTTTCCTCCCCTTCTCTCTTTGTCTTCTCCCTTCTTCTTCATCCTTTCCCTTTCTTTCTTCCTCTTTCAGTTTCCTTTTATTTTTCCTTCTCTCCCCCTCCCCTTCTCTGATCTCTTTCCTCCCTGCTCTCCCTTCATCCCACCCCCATCCCACAGCAGTACTGAGGGATACATGCTATAAAACACACTGCATTGATTTGAAGGTGCCCTGGAGGCACGGTGGTTAATCGTGTGGCTGTGAACCCAAAGATCGGTCGTTCAACTCCACTAGCCGCTCGGAGGGAGGACAGATGTGGGTGACCTGTCCCATCCAGATGGCAGCCCAGACTCAAGTACTCCCTCAACACAAGAACACTTGGTTCTACTAGCCCAGCATTCTGAGACGCTCACCTTCCTGACACAGGCACTGAAGACAAAGCGGGTGCATAAGCAAATGTGGTGAAGAAAGCTGATGGTGCTGAGAAGCAGCAAAGCTCACATGGAAGAAGCACACCAGCCTGTGTGGTCATGAGGTGTCGATGGGATTACCAAGCTTCAAAGACCCAGAACAAAAAATCTTAATGTGAATGAGGGCGGGGAGTGAGGAGTGGAAGCCCAAAGCCAATCTGTAGGCAATTGGACATCAATTTACAGAAGGGTCGTGGGAAGAAGATG